CTTAAGTAAACATTAGCATGGCCAAACGTGTCCTGAAAAGTTATTGGCACTGATCCACTAATTTGATGCCAGTTATAATATGAACCATTCAAGGGTAAACTTAGTAACCAATTTACATTTAAAAAGAATGTAATGTGAACCATAGTACATTTTCATAGCATTCTTAAGGTGATTAAAATTTCATATTCTTAAAGAATATCTATATAATTTTGTAATATTTAGATAATAGCTCTAATAGCAATGTGTTTTAGCTATTAAAAAATTTCCTGTGTTTTGGAACCTTAAAAATAATTATATATCCAGAAAGGGAGGTGAGAGAGAAGACTTTGCTTCAAAAGATTCTTTTTCTCTCTCTCTCAGCTTATTCTGGTTACATTGATGTTTTTACATTCATAAAATGGACATTTTCCTATTTTCCTGGTTTTATAGAATAATACTTGTGTGGGATTTTACCTTCTTTGAGATTCCTACTGAGTTGGAATTTAATATGTAATTGCTAGTTAATAAAAGTTCAGCAATCCGATCTTTTTAGACAGTCATTTGTCATCTCTTTTTGTTTTTAAATTCAAGAATTCCTTTTCTTGAAATCCACCATCATTGTAAAATAGTAATGAAAACTTTAAGGGAGACGTAATCTTGCTATAAACCATAAGAAGACCCTAAGTAATGCAACACCTTTTTTCCAGTAATTTGTCATCTACTTGGAAAAGATGTGCCAGGCTCCTTGTGGGTCCACTGCACCTTGTTTACATTAATGCCTAAGAGCACTCAACTTTACATATCTTACATTATGCCAATGGTTTTGCTTATAATACTTAATAGATAAGAACTTTAAAGATCCTATATCCTGATTTTCTACTGGTCCCTAGTAGTGTTTGGCCCATTGAAGTCAGTAAATAAATTGATGTTTTCATTAAAATGACTTCCCTCTAACATTCTGTAGAACCATATCTGTGCCTTTTTTTATATTATAGTTTCAAATTTTCTAGTAGTATGAGCTCGAATTAAAGAAAATGGGGAGGGGAGATACAACAGTAAATGCCGAGTCCAGTGTATTTACACTAGAAAGTCATCTGTGTGACAGGGCTATTTCTACATATTAGCCAAAAGTAATTCTATGTATTTCATTAAAAAGTAATTGAAAATGTCTTTAAAAGGGTTAACGAGGGGCCAGCAGGTGGCTTAGTGGTTAAGGTGCTGGACTGCCACATGGTTGATTGTGGTTTGAGTCCCAGACCTGCTGGATTGAAACTCATGCCGGGTGCGTGTACATGCATGTCCATAATCCCTAGAGGAGAATGGAAAAGGGATTGCGGTGTGGCATCCTGCTGGGGGATGATTTCTCACTCCCTCTCTCTGTCGCTGTCTGTCTCTGGTGAATGCATGCACCCTATAACAAAAATCTCTTTGTGGGGAAAAAAAAAAGCTAACAAATTCTTTTAGATTTACTTTTCCAGGTTATATTATGTAGAATACTACTAACTGTATAAATCTTAATTTTCAGAATGATAACAGGTTTCTTTTTAATCAGTGTTTTATAATATATGGCTGTGCATTTCAAGAAATTAGATATGTTACATGCTTTCTTTTGAGTGTGCTTTTATTTTGGAGAATATTTGGTGACTGGTACCCTGAGGAAAAGAGCTTAGGAAATGCTATTCTAGACTAGCGTTTAACAGGAAGAAAGCCAAGGATCATGTTCTAGGTTAGCCGTATCAAAGGACTGTGACTAATAATTGCCATCTTTACTTTGTTTAGGGGAAAATAAAACAAACGCACTGAATAGAACTGTGGAAGAATAGGGAAGAGAACTGATTGTTTAAACCTCTATTATAATATAGTGGCAGTTTTCCATTGTATCTTTTATCCTTTCCTTTCTGGAGCCTGGCAAATCCTTTCTTCTCATCTAGATGGAAGGAATCTTACTCAAAAAGAGCTGAGAGGGACCAGCAGTTGGTGTAATGGCTGTGTCACTGGATGCCTATGTAGTCGACTGGGTTTGAGTCCCGGACCCGATGGCTTAAACTCACACCGGGCCCGTGTGCGTGCGTGCCCAAGATCCTGAGAGGAGAATGGAGGAGAAGGGATTGCGGCATGGCCATCCCCCGGGGTGGGGGGGGGTAGTGATTTCTCACTTTCTGTCTCTCTGTCTCTGCCTTCTGGTGAGCACACATGCCCTGTAACAGCTGAGAGTTTAGAAGAGCAAAAGGATTGGGGTCTTAAAGTCATGGCACATCATGATTACTGTATTTTTACTGAATTAAAAGCACTTCCTTTGACTAATACATTGTAAAAGAAGGGCATACTTTTTGGTTCTTCACGTTGGAAATTTTTTGAAAGAGTGGCTTTTACTGTTTATTAGTTAGGACTAAATTCAGTCGCAGGAAAGCAGTTATAAAGTCCTTGGAAGGTAGCTTCATAATTTCTGCTGCAATTGGAGGCTGATTATTTCCCTGTGTATGTTTTTATTTTTCCCTCACAAAGGGGATTTTTTTTTGTTTCTAGTAAGGAAAATGACAGAAAAATGTAGTTGTGGATGCTTAATAAAAATGATGTGTTTACATTTTTTTCCTTCTACAGTAAATAGTATAGGAATTTGGGAAGTTCTACTATGACTAATAAAATAGTGTTTGGGGAAGAAGCTATCTGTCCCACCCCTTTTTCTTTTCCTAGCTGGTAAATATATCACTGTGTAAGACATCGAAGGTAATGAATCTGGGAAAATGACTGGCATCTGGTAAACACTCACAGATTTATTAAAATGATCCATGTAAGAGTCAAAGACATTTGACTTTATGATTGAACATTCCAAATTTTTTATTATATAGATAAAATTTGAAGACCGGAGAAATTCACATTGGTAGTTACCATTTCTTCCCCACTGTCTCTTTAAATCATCTTTAGCATGAACTGGAAAGCAAAAGAGAAACCTTCTAACTTTCTGGTTTTAGGGAACAGTTTTTCTTTCTTTCTTTTCATTTTTTCCTCTAGAATTATTTATTTCATTCACTCTTTATTATTATTATCATTTGATTGGACTGAAGAGAATGGGAGAGAGCAAAAGAGAGGGAAGAGTGAGAAAGCAAACCACCAGGTTTGGGACTTGAACCATGGTTGGCCACTTGAGAGTCCAGTGCATTGACCACCAGACCACCTGTCAGGCCCCTAGGGGATAGTTTTCCTATCAAAGAATTAGAAATTAATAGTTCTACGCTTGAAATTTTTAAGTTAAAAATATAGAAATGACAAATAACGGTCCCTCCTCTGCCTCCCCAAAAAAAGAAAACAGAAAGAAAGAAAACCATTCTATTTAGATTGGTAAACTGTTTTATTAACTAGCATTTAACATATTCTAACCCAGTAGGGATTTCAAAGAAAGTACAATTGTCTTCAGTGAAACTGTCCTTTTCCTCTCATTCTTAGTCGCAGTGTTTTGTGAGTGCCTCCTGCTCAGGAGTCTGACACAATGGCATGGGTTTTTACAAGCTTATTTATCAAAATAAGACTACTTAGTTGTGCTTTGCTTAATGATAGGGATACATTCAGAGAAATGTGTAGTTAGATGATTTTGTCATTTTGCAAACATCATAGAGCATATTTATACAATCCAAAATTCTACTACACTCTTAATCTATAATATATAGCATAGCCTGTATTTTCTGTGGGACCGTCATTGTACATGTGGTCTGTTGTAGACTAAAACATTGTTATGTGACACACATCTGTATATCACGTGTATGTGTATTGTTTGTAAATCAGTTAAAAACAGTGTATTAATTATATATTTTAGGTTTGAATCAGCATTTGTGTAATAGAATATGAGAAATTTTATTTATTTATTTTTTTGGAATGATTTTGCTATAGGGCGTGTGCGCTTGCCAGAAAGACAGAGACAGAGAGACAGAAAGTGAGAAATCATTCACCAAGGGCGGTGGCCATGTCTCAGTCCCTTCTCCTCCATTCTCCTCTCAGGATGTTGGGCACCCATGCACACGAACCCTGCGTGAGTTTAAGCCACCAGGTCCAGGACTCAGACCACGGTCGATTACATGGGAGTCCAGCAACATAGCCATTACACCAACTACTGGTTCCTAAAAAAGATTAGATTATTAAGGCTATTTTGATTTAAAAAAAAAAAAGGTGAAAATATGGATAATTATGGCTAATTCACCTAGTCTAAGAATCAACTTGTTTCTGAATAGACATGAAAAATTCTGATTCTCTTCTATGAATTTTTTTTTGAAAGATTTTCGCTAGAAGGGTGCATGCACTTGCCAGAGAGGCAGAGAGAGACACAAAGCAAGAAATCACTCCCTCCCTTAGGGAGATAGCCATGCTACAATCCCTTCTCCTTCATTCTCCTCTTGCGGTTTCAGACACACGTACAAATACACCTGGCTTGAGTTTCAAGCCACCAGATCTGGGACTTGAACTGTGGTTAACCACATGGGAGACCAGCTCTTTAACTACTCTGCCACCTGCTGGACCCCATATGAGCTTTCAGTCTTAGTGTATTCTTTGAAATTATTCAGAAATTTTCAAGAGGAAGAGTAGTAATTCTTGCTTCAAATTTGTATTATTTTCATCTAAGCATTTCTCATATTTCTCATGAATATAAAGAGGAAATATCTCAAACTGCATATGATTGTTATTACCATTTTTACCAGTGAGTATTGCTGCCATATTTGTAGCAACCTTTAATAATCTGATCAGAGCTGGCCCTGTAGCACAGTGGTTAAGACCTGTGCATGGGGAGTCAGATCCCACATGACTGACTACAGTTCAAATCTTACCCTTTGAGTTACATTAAATTTCTCCTTTTAGAAAGCCTGCCTCACTCATCTTGAGCATGTGCCGCTCCCTACTGTGTGGTCATTGTTGGCATTTGTACTGCATGGACAGAGCCCATGAAAGCTTGGCAGTGGAGTATCTGACTCCATTGTATGGAGTTTGTTTTTTTCTGTTGTAATGTTTATTTCCATTTACTCTTGTCTTTGCAGGACATAGCTCGCCTTTTGCAAGAAAAGGAGTTACAAGAAGAGAAAAAGCGAAAGAAACACATTCCAGAGTTCTCTGGAACGAATGCTTATGGAGATAGTTACTATTATGAAGATGGAGGTAACAATGCCTACATAATGACCTAATCTCCTTAGACTCACCCATAAAATGCCCCTTTAATTATGTTTGTAAAGTAACCTTGGGGACTTAGGAATGTTTCTCTTATCCCCAGGTACTGGGTACATTTAGATTCATGGCAGCATTCTATTTGAATCCTATGAATACATCTATTCCTTAGTTGAGCAACCAGAGACATGTCTATGACTGTTAATACTTGAATATGTTGTTGTCAAACTTGGCACACATTCTTTTGCACTGTGGCCACTTGGAACACTGTGTTGCATTCTAAGCACATACAGTGGGGTGTGGGAAATAGCTGATGAGTCTCTGGATTTAACCTTTCTCAAGAAAGTCTGGACAGTACTGTTGGAAGCAGCCAGGTGGTATGAATAAAGAAGGCACACTATGCATCAGTTAGGGGTAACAGACAAAACTTTACATGCTTTCTCGTCTTTTAAACTTGGTCCAATAGTTTAGCCGGTGATGACAATATTAAATTTTAACGTTCACAGTTCACTTTTTTGTGCTTTTGATTCTCTCTTTGCTATCCGATACCATGCTGAATAATTTCTGAGAATCCCTTGAGTTCTGCTTATCTGGTGCCTACTTTTGCATTGTGGTGGCGGTGCTGGTAGTTGTGGTGATGGTGACTCTTTATCTTAAACGTGTGTTGGGAAATGAGTATTTGCAAGAATCCTTCAGTCTTTCAAAGGAAAGACATTTCCTGTAGTTTCAAGAGTCAGTTTTTATTGAAGTGAGCTTGGAGATTATTCTTAGGATAACAACAGAACAAAACCTAAAGGCAGCTTGTAGAGAATAAAGATTTTAAGGTCAGTGATCCCAAAAGGCTTTGCAAACCAATTATCAGCTGCTTTTCTATAATGCCTTTATGAAAGGTAAGATGCGTTTGTCATTGATAAATAGAATGAAGAGAATGCGCGTGTAGATGTAGGATTATTGTAGTTTGAGAATAAGCTGGCTCAGTTACATTATTTGTTCTAAATTTACTGTAACCTGAAGAGCTCACCTCTTTGGCCTGTTCAGTAAGTAGGTTGATTCTCTATCTACTGCTTGGTGTGTTTTTTCTCTGTATGTAAAATGTTCAGCTCTTTTTTGATAGCCATTTTTCTTATGCTGTTTTTTTTTTCTGATGAAATAATATATATGGTATCATTTAAACAGAAAAATTATTACTGTATCATGCTATACTGTATACCAAAGGGTAAAGAGTTACTCTTGAGCTTCAATTAAAATTTCTATAATGTTGTCTGGTGTTTTTCACTTGCTTTTATCTTCAATTCTTCTCTGGAGGCATGCTCACTGTAAATAAAAGCAACTATTTTAAAATTTTTGGCTTATAATAAACATTAGGATGGCAAGTAATCAAGTATGCTAAAAAATTAATTTGAGCTTTCTTCTATAAAAGTCACTTGTACTAACTAGAATTGAGATTCAAACCTATTTGTTTTGATCAGAGTAGAAAACTCTGGTGTTTTCTACTCTGTGATTTTTCAGAGACACTTAAAAGTTAAAAAAAATATGTATTTATTTTAATTACTTTTTGTAAACTTGTAGAAACTGGCACATGTTCTTGTTTTTGAGTGGTGGTGGTGAGGGAGTATGAGCAATAGTGAGCTACTGAACATGAGCGTGTGAACACTGGAATTTGTTTTGCATCAGCTGTTTTGCCAGAAAATTATATGAGGAAGGCTTCAAATATGTTCATGGACAATGTATATTTTGAAAACACCCATGCATGGATTTCTAAATCTTGCTGTGCTAAAATAAACTCACACTCTAATTTCCATTTGTCATGAACTTTTTGAAATCTCTGAACATGTAGTCCTCAATTTATATACCTCTGAGCTCAACCTAGTTGGAGTCTACTGAAACTGTGTTACAATTCAGTTTATATTTTACAAAGCAGTCCTTACGTTTTTTGCAGTGTTCCTTTTCCAACACATCTGGGATCTTCTTTATGTGTTCTTCTTTATCTGTGTGATTGGACTTTTGCGCTACATAATCAGTTTATCATTACAGAAGTGCTATTTTTTTCAGCTTTTATTTCTCTTAAACTTTAATAAATTTCTCTCTTAAAAATCATATATAGATTCTCTACAAGTTTGAAATGATCCAAAACAACGAATATATATCAACTGTGAAATGACATACATTACTCTTTCATGAGTCCATGTTTTTCTTTCAAAACTATTTACTTGTATTGTCTTATTAGAGATTTTCTTTTTTAGGTCGTGGTCTTTAGAGTTATATGACCATGGTTAAACTTCTTTCCCTTAGAATAATTATAATTATAAAGAAGTTACTTACTGTAATTACTCTGATTCTTTTTTTCCTCATCCATAAAATGGGGATTCTGAAAATATATCCTTCACATGAATGTTGAGATCAAACAATTAATTTTGATGAAGGACTTACAAATTTTCAGGTACAGTTGCTTATACATATATCAATGTTATAAGAGTGCAATGTAATATTTTGTTTATCTATAAATTATCTTATTTGAAAGACAAACATGGAGGCACACATGAAATATGCATACATATATATATATGTTTATATGTGTGTGTGTATATATATATTTGCATATGTATTGGCAGTGAGGAAGTTAATTATATTTGCCAAATAACTTGGTCTCAAGGAGTGCACAAATCTCAAACTTCAAATGGAAGGGAGTTTAAAGGATTAAACTGATTTTCCACCATCGTCTTTTTTTCCCCTACCATATTTAAAAGATATTACAACAGGCAAACTAAAGAATAAGTCTTTTTTCCCAGACAACTCTGAAACTTTAGTGATAGCTCTGTAGTAATATTTTGCATTGTATTTCCTTAAAGTAAAATTATCATTATTTCTTGGCTATTTAGAAGATTTATTTTATTTTATTTGAAAATAAAATAAAAACACAAAAGCAATCTTAACTCACAAATATATGTCAGAAACAAAACGCTTCTTGTCTTTTTTGGGCCTAAAGGTGGACTTCACTCGTGCAATTCTCTGTGGGCACATTGGTATTAACACAATAAACCTTTGTTCCCTGGATATGGTCATCATTTAAGTACCTGGTCAGTATTACATATAATTCCTTTATTAAATTAATAATATAAAAACAATAAAAATACCTAAAAGCCAAGAAAATGTATAATCCGTTAATTTTTTCTGTTTCACATCAAGCTATGGTAGCCATTTCAAATGCAATTCAGCAAATACTAAATTCCACTAGGGAGCATATTTTTGTTATTTTAGCAACTTTCTATGGAATTACAATTTTTAAAAATTTAATGTGAAATCAGTATGTTCTTCCAAGGTACACGTTTTACTCACTTCCTGTTTTCATAGTTCGTGTATGCCTAAGTGAGATCAGACAAAAGCGTCCATCAGTGTTGCTTGTGAGGGTTTATGTTAAAATTGAACACTCATATTCTTACCACATACTGTGTTGTTATACAAAGAATATAGTATCATAAAATTTTTTGAAAGATATTTTGGAAGTGATAGCTTATTCTTTGTTATTATGACATCCCTTTAAAATTCTTTTCTCTCTTGAATTTCAACTCGGATTGGGAATGGAACTATTAAAGATAACAGAGTCATTTACTCACTTAAAATTCTCCTCTATTTGGTCCTCATCCAGACCAAACTGTAGTGAAGGGCTGTTTTCTAAAGTGACTGGGAATGTTTGCTTTGGCCACATGAGGGGGAAAGATAAAGGAATATCAAATGTGGATCATTTCCCTTCACCAAGCAAGAACAAGCAGCATTCTGATAGAGCTTTATTGTCATTTTCATTAAGAATATTTGAAAACCTCTGACTGAAATCACAAAGCTTAAATTAAAAAAAAAAAAAAACCTTCAACCCTACTTTCCCCCTATTCTAGCTTCAATTTGTTTTTTTTTTTTTTTAAGTTGAATTTAATGTTTAATTGTTGCGATTTTTGTTATTGGCAAATATTAAAGTACTCTGTTAACTTTATCTAGTAATGATCTAATTCTTTCAGATTTAAGTTATTTCACTTAATTTTAGTTTTTTGGATACATATCTAGAATTCTTCAATTTTACATGGACCATTCCTGTAAATGTTCACCCCCTCTTCTTAATTTGTTAAAAAAGCAGTCTTTTCCATTTTTAGAGGATGTTAAACTTGGGCCCTGACTCCCCCCTGTGCAGTGAGTTTCTATTCTCATTAAGTTAACCTTCATTTTTATTTCCCACATCCCTCCACTTCTACTCAGACCAGCCAAGGTCAAGGAGGGCCAGGGAATTGGGTTCTGGATTCTCAAAGTCTTGTAGAGTCCAGACTGATGGTGAGACTGTGAAACAGAGGAAAAAGAAACCAAAACATCCACTGGAGAACTTGGAAGAGATGGAAGAACATTGCTCACCAGAGGGATCCCTGCCGTCGTCTAGCTGGGATAAAGTGCCGGCTGATTCCCGAATTCACAGCGAGCAACGTGAAAGAAAACGGTCTAGTCAGGAAAGACCCCGGAAACCTGCCCTGCCCAAGATCAGCGGTGAGGTGTTTCTGAGAGCCGAATGTGATGACCAGGAGGCTAAAAGTAGCCATCGAACTCGAAATCACGATAAAGAGCCTCGGCACCAAGACTGGCTTTCACCCAAGTCCCCACAGAAAGCAGGGCTTCCGTGCAAGGAAGCTGTGTATGGGAGGGACCGTGGGCAAGGGGAGCACAGAGGAAGGAGACACAAGCCCAGCACTCCTCCCTCCTCAGAGAGCGAGGAGCACCTCTCCCTCCGTGATGCAGGTAATAACGGCCAGTCACCTGGGAAGAGCTGGTCCTGTGTACCTATGTGGAAGCCAGTGTATTTAATCAGTCTCTTAAGTGGTCTCTTTTCCTCTTCAGTTTATGCTCCTGGCTTTGAAATAAATCCTGGAACCAAAAGAGGTATTTACATAACCTCAGGGCTGGTTAGGAAGGAACACATTTCTATCTTTCTCCTCCTGTGAGAATGCACTGATTCCGGAGAAGGTGTCTCCATATCCAGGTTGCAGTGGAGGTGCCCCTCTCAGATCCATACGTCAGACATTCTGACATTAAATCAAAGCTCCAGGATGTCTGGTTTTACTTCAGTGAACCCAGAAGACCCGGTGATAACTGCATTCATTGTGTTTGCCTCGCTAAATGGCCAGTAGGGCTGGACGCACTAGATTTTCTGGATCTCATTTTTTCTCATCTGTAAAATGAAAGGGTGGGTGGGAAGGAATCTCTGAAGACTTCTTTAAATTATGCACCTTGCTTTAATTTTGTCAGATTAGCCATTTGCTAATAATGTGGGTTTCAGGTATCACATATGTTATCATCTCTGGAGTGAGACTTGGCAATTTGGGCATGTTTTAGACCTGGAAGGGATTCTTACAAACGTAAATTGTAATGCTAACTTTCTCCAGCTCTGTCTCTAATTGCCGTTCTAAAGCGCCAACACAAGTTAATTCTTGATACCTGCGTGAGAATGAGGTGAATATTAGAGGTAAACCTCAAATTCCTGACGTCTTAACGCAGTAATAGCTCTTTATTGTCTGGAAATGGCTGAGGGGATGTTTTTTACATATTATAAGAGAAGTTCGCATCGCACTTTGGTATTTTAATAGAACATACTCACCTTCCTGGTTACATTTTGCTTTTACTGAATTTTTACAGAAAAGAAAAGAATCCTGAAAAAGAGTACAAAGGAGGTACCTGTTCTTATTTTCTTCTTCAACGTGGTTCAGTCAAGCTCTTCTTACAGTTGGGAAGCTGATTTCTGGGTTGTAGGCTCATGTTAATTCAAATTTTTGTAATCACACGATTTCTTATTAAAGGACTTGGTTATAAAGAAAATTAAAATTCAGTTCAGCCAGCCTTACTCAGTATCTCCCACAAATATTCTTGCCTTGGGCTTTATGCTTGGATCTGAACCTCAGAGTTAATAGTCAAGCCAAAAAGATGATATGTGAACGAATCAGATAGGTTAATTAGGGAGACACGACCAAAGGGCTGTGGGGAATAGAGAGAAAAACACGATCTATTTGGAGTAGGTTTATCTGGGATTCGTACTCTATCCAGGTTTAGAAGGGGCTCGCAGGGGTTCCAGAGGGGTGGAAGGGGAATGATTACACTCTGCGCTCTCTACACTTCTGTTTCTGCTCATCGGACCTTATGAGTGTGTGCTCTGAGGGCTGGTTAGCTTTGTGACTTTTAGTTATGCTCTCGGGTGTTTTAAATAGACTTAGGAAGCGTGAAGTAAACACTGAGTCACAGGCTCCACTCTGGAGTTGCGGGCAAGTGCTGTGTTTATTTCACTAGCACAGTGGTTTAAAAACTTTGGGCCCAAGTGCAGTAGAGTGCTGTTCCAAAACACCAAGTTTCAGCTCAGGAAAAACTGCCGTTTGTTTTCAGGTCTCCCTGCACATGCCTGTGGTCCCGGCTGGCGGGGAGAATTGGGAGGCAGAGTGTGCCTGCCTCCTGCTTGTCTCTCTCTCTCTCTCTTTCCTGAAAGAAAGGAAGGAACCGAATGAATACATAGGTGGGCCAGCCGGGCGTGGTTAAGGCATCCAGATCCCACCAGGCTCCTTCATTTTCTGGACCTCGGGCTTGGAAAACATGCCGGGTGTGCGTGTGTGCATTCCCAAAATCCTGAAAGCAGAAGCAGAGGAGAAGGGATTGTGGCATGGCTATTCTCCATGCGGGTGCTTTCTCACTTTTTTTCTCTCTGAGTCTCTCTAGCAATTGCATGCTCCCTCAAGGGAAAAAAAAAAAAATTCCTATAGCAAAATTAGGGTACAAATTTAATTAAAAAATGTGGCTCTGCAAGTATTAAAATAGCTAAATATGAGTTGCTTAGTATCTACTATTTTATTTAGTTTGTTTTATAAATTTTACCTTCTCAGCCCCTTAGTCATTTTATTTTGCCAAAAACCTGGAATAGGTCAAAGAATACATTAAAATCTAATGAGTAGCGACTGTCTTCTTAGTGTTCTAAGAACACATTTCTTAAAAGTTAGTAGCATAGGCCAGAGTTTTATTTAACTTAAAAATGAAGAAATTAACAGCACAACAGAGAGCTGGTTCAAAGAGCACTTGCAGAACAGCATTTATAGAATTAGTGGAAAAAAATGCAAAATAAAATTGATAAATACAAAATTGGCTAAGTTTGTACAGGGCAATGAAGGCATACCTAATCTTTGAGAGTAACTTCATTTTTGGACTATGAATTCCTTACAGCTTATCATTTTCTGCAGGTTAACTCATGACTTCTCAGGGCTGAAAAATGTCTGTACCTTTCTGCTGAGAGTCTGGGTAACTACTCTGTAATATTTCTTGGGTGTCAGACGGGCTTGTTAACAAGACACTCTTCATGATATCAAAGATTTTGTCAGTTACATTTTACCTTGTCCCAAGCTCAGAATAAATTTATATCAGATACTAGTATTTTTAACAATTTTATCTTACTCTGTTAGAATTTATTTAGAGGGGACACCCTATTTATGTTTAAGAAGGTTCTTACATTCTCAAACTGTAGAATGATGAGCAGAACAAGACAAGAAAAGATTACAATAAACATACAGACCTGTTGAAAGTGTGGCTTACCTGACTGAAAGCTGGTTTCTGGATTTTGTTTTGGCTACCCGGATGAGGGCAGCAATTCTGTACATCTCCTTCAACTAAACATCTCTGTTTTCTGTATTGACTGTCATACACTATACTCTCTGTGGTTCTTTCTTTCCCTTATAAAATCTCTTGTTACCTTGGATACAGAGGGCACTACAGCAAGTGGACAGGCCTGCCAGTCCAGAAATCCAGTATCCCAGGCCCTGTGGGTTTTCTGCTTAATGAGTTTGCAGCTTCCAATAAAACAGCCAGGATTTAAATCACCTGTTTCTGCTCTAAATATTTGGACTGAGAGATTATCTCAAAGTTTGACTCTAATTAATGAAGTTGTCATTCCAGAGGTTACAATCTTATGACCCTGTCTAACAAATTAACATTGTTCGTTTGAATATATCTTTGATAGAAGTTTAAACAAAATATATTCTCAGTTAATTTTGTGATGCAGAGTAGGAGGCATAATAGTGGGTGAAGTTTGGTGTCTTAAAATTTGAGTCCACCCCTCTCTGTCATTTCCCTGAGTGGCAGAATTGAAGGGTCTAGGTATGTTCTGTCATGCTCAGCCAGGCTTGAGGCTGCCCAACGAAGGAACATTTTTCTATAGATTGGAATGATGTTATGGCAGTCTATCTTGTCTACATACCTCACCCAGTGCTGTATTTTCTATCTAATTTTATTTGTTTTTTCTTGAAATCTGTCTTTCTAGCTAATCATAACTGAAGGAGAATTATATTTCACTTACATATGGTCCACTCTTAGGCATGTGCCACTGTTTTATTGCTGTCCCAAACCACTCTGAAATATAGGTTAAAACCCACTCAGCCCAGCATAAGATTCAGTAGCTTTAGAGATGAACGGAAGTGGGCAATGTACTACTCAAGTGCTAACGGGCCTGAAACTAAGGTTTATTAGCCTTTACTTGTGGTAAACCATGTGTGTACGCGTCTGGCTTTGGAATATTCCACAAAGCTAGTAGGAGGCTCTGCAGAGATAGGCTTCATTCTCCAGGATTTAGTTGTATTTTCTTTTTCTTCCCCATTTTTTTTTTTTTAATTTGCAGGAAAATCAATGTGAGACATCTTGATGAAAATTATTTGAAGGAACAGTTTTGATGGACATAATACTGCAAATAACAGTCAACTGGGTATCAACAAACTAATGTATCCAAGGCCAGGGCTAGGCCACCTAAATTTATGGGGTGGTCAGAAAAGTCATAGTACATTTTTGCAGGGGGTGGGGGGGCATAAAAATGCATCATGACTTTCCTGATAACTCGATAGAATCTCTGGGGTTTTGGGGAAATTTTTACATTTACTTAAAGTACCCCTAAGTGATTCTGATATGTTGCCACGGTTAACAATCATTGATACTAAGACAATCCAGAGTAAATATTCTTTCTCCCTTCAGTGGCCCAGTTACTGAAAGTCATTATTCCAGATGGCTGGTCTTATTCCATACATTTAAAATTATTTCCAAATATAATATATTATATTATACTAGATATAGTAATCACATTTATAAAAGGATACTAAAGGGAAACATCCACAATTTTGAAATAACCATTAATATTTGCTACTTAATTAAGAGTAATAAAAGGAATTTTATTTGCTGCTTGTAAGATTTTAAAATAAAAAGCCATGATTGCCTACCAGTGCCCCATGTTCCTTTCTTAGAGGAGTAGAACTCTAAGGTCAATAGGCTCTCTGATACTTCTCTCACGTTATAGCTTCTATAAAAATGTGCAGTGCTTTCGAATGGATCAGTGCTTTGGGAAACATCTAACGCGGTTAGATCCGTTTACCCTCAGAGCAGACGCCATGGCAGGTACTGGTTGGCTCACAGGTAGTGTCACACTGTCCCAGGTGGTGCTGGTCTGGAGCAAGGTGTACAGGCTGAGGAAAAAACAAAAAAGCCTCCCATCTCCTCTCCTCTGTCTTTAACAACTTAGCCACTTTGAAATTCACATTCTATAACTTTATTTTCTCTAAATTCTTTTTATTTTCAGTGCCTTCCCCCCCCCCCCCTTTTCCTTCTGCCTCATTTTTCTTC